TTTCATTTTTATTTTCTGTAATAATACAAAATATGTAATTATACAAAATAACTAATGATTTCCGATAATAGAGTACATAGTTCCTATTGTAGGAAGTGAGGATGTGTCAAAAAGGCAGGTATAGCAATTCACAATGCTGTGTTAGTCTTTACTTTAATGTACGTTAGTGAAAGTTGGGTATGGCAGAAGAAGCACAAGTGAAAAATAAATGCTGTAGAAATGCGGTCATTAAGGTGTATCCTAGAGCTTAATCTGAATGACAGTGTAAGAAATTGTGTAATAAGAGAAAAGTGTATATAGCAAAATGATGTAGTGACCAAAAAACTGTGAAAAAGTGATTCAGCAGTTTGGTCATGCAGAAAGAATAAAGCAGAAAAGAGTGTCAAATGCAAATATACGATGCAGAAGTGTATTACGCCATATTGGCGAAATATTGAAAATGGTCCAGATTAAGAGTATCCTTGACTAACGAGCACATACATATGCGTGGGTATATGGATGTAAAATTGGCGAGAAAGGTTTGCCATCATCTGGAATATTATTGAAATCTTGTTTTATTAAAAAAATACCGATATTTATAGGATATTACATATTGTGGAATGTATTTTTGGAATCGATGATACGAACATGAAGCAATCAGTTGGCGTCAATAAGACTGTTGCATATAACTGTTAGGTTATGCCCGTTCTTATGTAAACTTTTGGCATACTCAGGTAGACTCAGACGGATCTTGAAGCCCTGTATAGAAAAGTCTACACTATAGTATTGTCCGACAGAATGCACCACCCGAGTTTACGAGTAATGAGGCTGTACTTGTTGCTAAAATTTGGTGGGTTTCCACCATAATCGCGAAATGTAAAGCCTCTATAATAAATAATTACCAGGCGAGATTAAATAATCCATTCCACACGGACGTCATTTCGTGTGATAAAGGGCTTAGCCCTTTAGCCAGCGAGCAATGGCAGAACTCGACAGTTCCTATCGAAGGAGAAGAAGCTGAATGGGTGAACCTCCCTCCACAAGACCACACGAGTATCTCGGAGATACATTTGCCTCCCTCCACTGGGTACGTTTTGGTGACTTTTTTGGGAAAACTGAGAGTTTCGTCTGTACAACACAAAATCGGATTATTAAGACCAATAATTTAAATTGAAATTATTTACTGCATGTCAAATTAAAAATTTAAGATAATACATAATTAATAATAATATAATACATAATTAATAAGTTATACATTTGATGCCCGATTATTTTGGAATTATCTTGTTTTAAACATATATTATAAAATATCATATCATAAACATTCAATACCATTTTATATAAGTTAATTAAATTTATAAATACAAATGCAGTCGAAATATTCTTCTTTCTTTGTTTTATTTATCGTCAAAAACTCATTAAAAGTGTAATAATAGGCCTTTACCTGTGAAATTGCTGTTCTGAATTACTGGCCATTTTAAATCAAAATAATGTTTGAATTCCAATTTCAAATAAATTTTATTTTAAGAAAATGGAATTCTCTTTCCAAAATCATTTGTTTATTGATTAGCGCTATGTTTTTACCGCATTTAGATCTTGTTCGTCATAATGTCTACGTTAAAAATACCAGTCGTTATAGAATATGGGTACCGCTTTAGCTTTACTTGGTAGTTTTACGCTTTTTAGTTTTACGTGTAAGAGTCACGATGCATCTACATTTTGCTGTAGCTCGAATGGTTCGGCTCGACCGGGGGATACCACGCTTTTACAGAATACCAGCGTAAAATAGCAGCTTAATGCTGCTTTTTCTATAGTTAGTGTAGAGAACCGGAGACCATTTTTACTGTAAACGAGTCATTACATCATAGTCCTTAGGACTGACAACGCATCTGAATTTGATTCATAATCGAAGATAAATGTAGATGCCTATGGGCTAAAGTATCCACTTAACACCAGGTGGACTGTGTGCTCGTTGGTCACTCCATTCTATAAAAAAACCATCGTGGCAGCAGCGCAGCAGTAGGGCAAGCAACACTAATGACGTTTACGGAGCAAATACTACAAACAAACGCACTACCTATTATTGGTTTGCCTGTTTCGGTTCTGAAATTTCGACCTGAAAAATGAACCCGGTGGCGGTCCGTAAACTTTGGTTGAAAATGACAAATTAGAGGTGATTGTGAAAGCTGGTGATTCTTAATCTACAAATAAATTAGTAGCATTTTTCAAAGTTAACATCAAAATAACATAAGTACATTTGCGTCTAGATGGTAAGGTAAAAAAGCTTGACGAATGGGTGCCCAACGAACTCAATGATAGCCAGTGCCGAGTACGCATGGAAACACGCCTTGCACTGCTCAACAGGCAAATAAACAAAGGAATTTTAAACCGCATTGTTACCTGCGACGAAAAATAGATTTGTTTGACAATTGCAAGCACTCAGCTAGTTCGTTGAGCCCTGGTTCATTACCAAAACAATACCACAAACGAAAACTTACCCCTAGAAATTTGATGGTCACTGTTTCTCTCGCTCATGATTCTCCCGCTGGATGTCTGGTCAGTCAGACGTGTTTACGAAAACTCTGCTAAAAATTATTTCTTGAACTTTTAATAAAATAATCTTTCATAAATACTGTGAAGTACTAGGGCCGCATTGACCGAGAAGAGCTTACGTCTCGGACGGGACAAGGACATCCATATAGTGAGTGTGACATACAAAACTATCTAAGTGCCGTCCTTGTATTTGACCCATCCCACTACTCAGCTTACCTCCGCACTGCTTAGCGTCGATTGGCTCACCCCGCCCTCTGCGCAGGACCTGGATTCTTACGGGGATCGTCACGCCCTTCGCAAGTGATTCACGTACGTACCGCTGTAAACTGCCGTCGGAACATTTAGGCCTAGAACACATTATTTTAGGCCTACAATATCTTATATTAAACGGCAAAATGTTAAGATCGCCCGCAGATAAACAAAACAATACTTATGGATCGGCTCCAACCCTACTCCAAAATAAAGACGGCTGCAATTCACCCGATAATAGCATATTACGATCTACAAAAAGACGCCGTTGCGAATGCGATTGTGCATCTACACCAGATTCTAAGTTAGACGTTTTTATAAATTCACTAACTTCCTGGAAACATGAGACGGATATCAAATTGTCGGGTATTATGGAGTCAATAAACGAAATAAAACAACTCAGCTCGGACCTACTGGCGTCTAACTCGGAAATCGAGAAGTCCATCGAGTTTTTATCCTGTAAATATGATGAGATTTGCGGAGAAATTAAAAATGTACACTCGCAAAACATGATTTATGGTGACCGCCTATCGAAATTAGAGAACACTACAGAAGAGATCGAACGCTTCTCCCGCTCCAGTTCAATTGAAATCCGCAACCTGCCTATCAAGCTGCCATTATCTCAAGACGATCAAGTAGTAATTGCCTGTCGCATCTTCTCGGAGTTGTCTACCAAAGTCCAGACTTCTGACATTTATGACATCCGTTGTCTCCCCTCCAAGCAAGATACTAAGACCGTACTTGTAACCCTTAACTCTGTCATCTTAAAAAACCAAATCTTGAAGGCCTTCAAGGAATACAATAAGAAGAACTCGGGCGGTAAGTTGAACGCAAAGGTTTTAGCTCCTGAATATCCTGGCCAACTGATATATGTCTCTGAAAATCTGACAGCCCGTACCCGCAGGCTCTTTTATTTGGCCCGCGAGTTTGCGAAAGCCGAAAACTTCAAACATTGTTGGACAGCAAATTGCAGGGTTCTTCTCCGCAAAGAAGACAATGGCAAACTCATTGTCCTTACCAGTGAATCTCAACTATCTAACCTAAAGTCAAAAAACTGATTGATAACATTTTTAGTCATATTATTGTAGTTCTTAGACGATATTTGTTTTGTATACATACCTCACAATCAAAGTATATACTTAATTTCTTCCATACACATCCAAATCAAACTTCTCACACTAACATAAATACATTTTGCGTAAAAATGTTTCTTCACACAAACATAACACAAAAATACCTATCAATATTTATTCATATTAAATATTATACTACTGTTAACTCTGAACTCCATCGATTAATTCGCCATAATTACCTTGTTATAATATTCCTTCCCGTTTTGTTATATAGGCTTAAACTTCATTTTTTACATAGCAACCCAACATCTGTTTTTGTTTGTCCCATCATTTTGGTTGACACCTCCCCCCCTCCAAAATATTGCCACACAGGAGTTCCAACCCCTCTCCCCAATACCCTGCAATTGGAGGCTACATGCCATTGTGGCCCCCATTTTTGCAATCCAGTACTATTTACCCCTAATACATCACATTCGATATCGAGCTAATTAATAATATAGATAATGTGACTATTTGCAGTGCATCCTCTTGTGATCCACATGAAGTTCAAAATGCTCTCGCTGCCAATAACCTGGGTACTAAGCCATTAAGAATCCTCACCCAAAATATTTGCAGTATAAAGGCCAACATACACAATTTCTTAACCCTGTTACATAATATCAACACTGACCTGGACGTTTTGATATTGACAGAATGTTGGCTCGGCATCGAACCAGCTATTCCCTATATCCCTAGTTTCGTTTCCCACTCTTCATCTAACCCAGTGAACCAGAACGATGGCGTCGTAGTCTACTACAACAATTCAATTGCTAATGTCTCTATTTCTGACCCGAAAATAGTTGACGCCAGCTCGCTCCTCATCCAAATACAGCAAGATACTGTAATTTTAGCTATATATCGACCATGTGCATTTCGAAATCCCCTCAACTTTATAAATTCTCTTTGTCAGACTTTAGCTTCTTTAAATAAATTTAAAAATATCATTATTGCAGGAGATATCAATATTAATATTATATCAAACTCAACCCCTGATCAAAACACTGAAACATATTTGAATATGCTCGCCTACAATGGTCTTTTGCCAGCCCATACTATTCCCACTCGTAAACTGGCCTGTCTCGATCATGTCTTTCTAAAAACTACCTTTCAGGCCCAATGTCTTGTGATCCAATCCTCAGTTACGGACCACGACGCTATCTTACTTGTCCTCTATATGAAGAATATATCACATTCATCTTCCAAAGTCTCAAAAAAGATTGACATCCCCAACCTTATGGACACCTTAAAAAAAGTAAGCTTCTCCGATGTACTTCAGCTCACTGATCCAAACCAAGCAACTAACCTATTTATTAGTAAACTTCAGGCTGCGATAGATCAACACTCCAAGCCCAAGCTCTTGCCCAGCCGACGAAGGATTCTCAAACCCTGGATGACTCCTGGGTTACTAAGATGTATTCGAAATAGAGACGGCATGCATAAGAAACTTAAAAAAGACCCCCAAAATGACATACTTCGAAAAACTTACTGTCGCTACCGTAATTTCTGCAATTCCCTTCTTAGGAAGATTAGGATAGCATATGATAGAGAGCGGATAAATAAGGCTGGAAATAATAATAAAAAATTATGGAACGCTATCAGAGATGTTACAAACATGAACAAACAGCACTCCAACTGCAACGACCTCCTCACTTTTATGTCTACCACCTCCCAATCACTTGATAGTACAAATGCTTTTTTTGCAAATATTGGTAAATCTCTCGCTGAGGATATACTTATTGCCTCTACTCCCTCCCCCCTAAAATTCGCAATACCTCGCTCAAATCAGACCCTCGTTCTTCTTAACACTACTCCATGCGAAGTTGACTCCCTCATCTCATCACTCAAGGAAAACTGTGCGGTTGGGTGGGATAATATTCCCTCATCTATCCTTAAATGCGGAAAGGATTTTCTCGTTCCTGCTATATGCCATTTATGCAACCTGAGTCTTTCTTCAGGTTGCTTCCCTGATGCCCTCAAGAAAGCCCTAGTTCACCCCATTCACAAGAGTGGAGATCGAAGCCAGCCCAATAATTACCGCCCCATTTCGGTCTTACCCGCCTTGTCTAAGATCCTGGAGAGGTTGATCAACAACCAGTTAATCCAATTCCTAGAGAAAATGAACTTACTGTCCCCTGAGCAATTTGGTTTTAGATCTGGCAGATCTACAGCAGATGCGGTTCACTCTCTCACAGATCATGTGATTAGAAACTTAGACAAGGGTAATAAATGTTTATCGGTCTTCCTGGACTTGGCCAAGGCCTTCGACACGGTTTCGATCCCCATCCTCTTGTCTAAACTGGAGGCAATTGGTGTCAGAGGTGCCCAACTATCCCTCTTCCAGAGTTATTTTTCAAACCGAAACCAGGCTGTCACTATCAATGGAAAAGTGAGTTCCGAACTATCCATGAGTTACGGTGTTCCCCAGGGAAGTATTCTTGGCCCGACGCTCTTCTTGGTCTATATCAATGACCTCTGCTCTCTCAAAATTCCTAGTTGTAAGATTGTCTCCTTTGCAGACGATACCGCCCTAATTTTCTCGGCCTGCTCCTGGAAAGATACCTTCCAACTTGCCCAATCTGGTTTGAACTTAGTCTCTCTCTGGCTCCGTACTAATTTACTCACTCTCAATTCCAAAAAAAAAAACAGTATATCACCTTCTCCCTCCGCAGTATTCCACCCAAAGCATTAGAAAACTATCGATTAATTGATCATTCCCATTCTGACCACCCCCTCTCCCCATGTAACTGTGAACCTCTTACCTCGACCGATTCCACAAAATATTTAGGTACTATTATAGACAATAAACTGACCTTCCAGCCACACATCAACCTCACCGCTTGTAGACTCCGTAAACTTATGTTCGTCTTTAAAAATCTTCGCCAAGTCGCAGATCCTTGTCTAGTTAGATCAGTCTATTTAGCACTTTGTCAGTCACTTATAGTCTACTGTTTAACAACCTGGGGTGGTGCGAGTAAGTCAATACTAATTAAGCTGGAAAGAGCCCAAAGAGCGGTCCTCAAAGTCTGCACGTTCAAACCCCTGCTATCACCAACCTTCGATCTTTATCAGTATTGTGAGGTTCTTTCAGTTCGCCAACTCTTTATTTTATTAACTGTCCTCAAACAACATAGTAGTTGCAGCTATGATCCCTCTTTAATGTTTTCCCAGCGAAATCACCTTGTAGTACGTTCAACCCCGTTTAAAACTCTAACCTCACAACGCTTTTTCTGTTTCTTGGGCCCCTTCCTCTATAATAGACTACATCGTGTGCTCAACATCTTTCCTCTTACAAAACTGTCCTGCAAATCCAAAGTCTCTAGTTATTTGCAGACTATGAACTATGAGGAGACTGAATCTCTCCTCCATCCTATCAGGTAGGTAATAATATACTAACGCCCACACCCACTCTGACACACGCACTCACACACACACACACACACACACACACACACACACACACACACACACACACACACACGCGCACACACACACACACACACACACACACACACACACACACACACACACACACACACACACACACACACACACACACACACACACACACACACACACACACATACACACACACACACCATTTCTCTCTCTTTTCTCTCTTTTTTGATTACTTTGCAATCACCAACTGTACCTTAATGATCAACATCCTGTGAGGAGAGTGCTGGTGCTCTGAAACACAGGCTCTTAGCCTAGCTCGGACGCCAGTCTCTCACAATCTAAATATGTTTTTTCCCTGGTAAAAACCTCTGTTCATTACTATACTAATATCTTAGATTGTGGAGAAAATAAAGAATTTTTATTATTATTATTATTATGTGGGGTATCTATATAGTTTTCTCATCTGGTTGGGATGTATAAATATATAATTATAAACGAAAATGAAAAGATAAACATACATAAATATCAATAAAATAAAATAAATATAAAAATACATAAATAAATAAAAGCCCAACCAGATGGAAGCCCTCGGCAGGGGGAGACCAAACGGCCGAGGGTTAGGGGGAAAGGGAAAGAAACCGGCGGACGATGCGGGCGGTATCGAGGAGCACCGCCTTCTGCATTTGAGCCTGGAGCGGTCCGCCACGTAGTCCCAGCCGCCTCAGATGACCCGAGAGGCTGACTGGGATTAGCCCGTTTGCAGAGACGACTACAGGAATAATTTCGGTCGGCAGACCACCCCACATGTCGGTCACCTCGTGAGCCAGGTCCAGATATTTTGTTTGCTTATCTGTTTCGGCTTTCACGAGGTTCTCGTCACACGGAATGGTAATGTCGACCAAAAATATCCTTGACTGTGCCCGGTCCATCAGCACAATATCAGGCTTATTCGCAAGAATAGTCCTGTCTGTGATGATGGCCCGGTCCCAATAGAGCCTGGCGCGATCATTTTCGAGCACGGCTTCCGGCAAGTACTTGTAATACGGCAACTTCCGATCCACGAAACCGTATTTCAGAGCGAGCTCCTGGTGTAGAATTCTGGCTACTAGGTTGTGCCTGTGCAAGTACTCAGAGTTAGAAAGCGCCGAACAACCGGAGATGACATGCCTAAGTGACTCGCCGGGATGGCGACAAGCTCGACAGATGTCGATGGTGCCATCCTTTAGGATGTATCTCCGATAGTTGTTGGTCTTAATAACCTGATCCTGTATTGCACAGACAAAACCCTCGGTTTCCCCGAAGAGGTCACCAAAGCGTAGCCAGTGGAGGGAGGTTACTGTGTCTACGAAAGGCCCATGTAGAGACTTGTAGAACCTCCCGTGGAGCTCCTTCTCCTTCCATACGGTCTCCCGGTCGGAAATTGTCTGCACTGCCGGGTCTTGCCATTGCTCGTTGGCTAAGGATAGAGGGGTAAGTCCTTTATCACAAGAAATGACGTCCTTATAGAATGGATCATCCGATCTCGCCAGGAAGTAATTACGGAGGCTGCACACTTCGCGATTATGCATGGTGAGCGCGCTCAAGAAGCCACGCCCACCATGCTTTCGCGGCAAGTACAGCCTCATTACCGACGATCTCGGATGATGCATCCTGTGGGACGTCATGGTAGTGCGGACTTTTCTATCCAGGGTGTTAAGTTCAGTCTGAGTCCACCTGAGTATGCCAAAGGTATACATGAGGACAGGCATGACCCAGCCGTTATATGCTTGTGTCTTATTCACACCGGACAAAAGGCTGTTAAGCACTTTGGTCAAGCGTGCATAAAACACGTCGCAAACTGACTGTTTCATACCAGCCTCATCGATACCGATGTTCTGTGACATACCCAGGTATCGGTATGTTTCAGCCTCGGAAAGGGTCCTTAAGTTGACGGGCATAGATAAGTCTATGCCCTCAGAGTTAGCAACCCTACCCCTCTCAACATGGAGGACCGCACACTTATCCGTCCCCAGCTCCATTCCAATGGAATTGCTAAATTCACAAGTGATGTTTAGCAGTTCCATAAGATGGGAGCGACTGGAGGCGAATAACTTGAGGTCATCCATATAGAAAAGGTGGGTCACTTTTGTCCCTCCTTTCCGTAGCTGAAATCCCCTCCCGGAGCCCTCCAGTAAGGTACTGAGAGGGTTCAGAGAGAGGCAGAACCATATTGGACTCAGACAATCGCCCTGGAAGATACCCCTTCTTATCCTTATGTGGTTCTCCGCAGCCATCATCCGCTCGCCCAGATGACAAAGGATCGTACTCCACTGCCCCATACACTGCCCGAGGAAGTCTCTAACTGTACAGTCTATCTTGTACAGTTCGAGGACTCTCTTTAGCCATGTATGGGGCACCGAGTCGAATGCCTTTCTGTAGTCTATCCAGGCGGCGGAGAAGTTCCGACGGTTGCGTTTCACCACTTTGCCAATGACCGCGTCAATGAGGAGTGGTTCCTTGGTTCCACGACCGCCGCCCCGACATCCATTTTGAGCGCGCGACATTACCTGATTTGAGTCCAGGTGACGAGTGATTCTCGCGCTCAAAATGGATGTTAGTGTCTTGTATATGGTCGGTAGACATGTGATGGGGCGGTATTTGCTCGGGTCTGTGGTACCCTGGCCTTTAGGAACCAAATGGGTGATCCCAGTAGTGAAGAGGCTCGGGAGCGACTTCTGGTTGAGAACCTCTTGAAACTGTCGGGCGAGCACAGTGTGACACACCACGAACCCCTTCAGCCAGTAGTGATGCAGCCCGTCGAGTCCCGGACTTTTCCAGTTCGGGGCCCTACGGACCGCCTCAGCTACGTCATCCGGCGTTATGGTGACGGGGTCCATGGGCGTAATACCCGCACACTGACTCGCCACAACTTCCGTCCAAGGGCCCTCGTTGTGGTTTACGGGCTCTGACCACAGGCTGCGCCAGAATGCGACCGTGTCGGCCTGATTCGGTTCTGGGCCCGTTCCACTTACCATTGGTCGCTCCAATGATTTATAGAGCCTCTTCTGATCACTCTGGAAGAGACGATTCTGGTTGAACCGTGTCGACCTCTCGGTATATCGCCGAATTCGCTTTCCCCAAGCAGCGATTCTCTGCTTCAGGTCGTCTATGCGCTCAGTCAGTTTTTGCATTATATCCGGCTGGGACAAACTAACATTTGTCCCAGCAAACGCCATCCTGACGGTGCGCACAATCCTTGGCCTGGTATTGCCTGACCTGAAGCATATCAGTCTGCCGATGAGGGCCCTAGCCTTTGCGATACGTTCTTCAATTCTTGTTCTCCAGGCTGGGATAGCACTACTTTGTCCAGTAGTGCGTCCAGCCGTGGAAAGTTTGGCGCCTATAATACGGCAGACTGCCAGTGCGGCGCCAAAGAGAATTGAGTCCGTCTCGCAAAGGTCCCGGCTGGCTTCCAAATAGGTCACCAGCATTGGGTTCAGAGCCCTTACGACAGCCCGATTCCGCTTGCTTAGGGCTATGCGGGGAAGTCGCGGTCGATTTTCGAGAGGCGTACTGCGCGTTTCCATAATCGCCTCTTCCAATGTACTCCTCATTTGCTCTATTTCTAGTTCCTGGGTGAATGTTCCATCATCATTTGAATCAGCAACCACTGGGGTATTCTCGGCGGCATCCACGTGTGCGGGTTGTTCTGCAACTTGTGGCACCGCACCCTCAGTCGTAGCGTTTTCATTTGATGAGGGAACAGCCTCACGTCGTAGCCGTTCGAGTTCGGCGCCATCAAATATATTTGAGCGTAAGATATACCGAACTCGGTCTGCCAGGTTTTGCTCGGTGACAGTAATAGATGGCTCCAGCTCAGTAAAAAGACGATGCATCCTAGCCCGATACGCGAAACCTCCAATTTCTCCCCCTTTCGCCCTAAAATACGCCCGCAATGCGTTTGAATTCATATTGATGGTCCATCGCATGCGGCGTACTCCACCAGTGGCGGGTGCCGATTGCTGGGCCTGCGAAGACCCTGCCGACACCAAGCAAGCTGGTGGGGATGATGGATGCGAGGGGCTGCTGGGTGGTCGTGCAGCACCTCGCGCTCGGCTGGCGGTTCGCATGCTGTCGCGTCCAGCGCCAGCTCCAGACGCGCCCTGACGACCTCCAGGCAGCGGCCCTTTGCGCAATCTTCTATGTTCCATCATCCATACAGGGCGTCATTTAACGGGAGACGCCCAGACCCGGCGCCGTTTCATGGTTTATTATTATTATTATTACTGTTTGATGGTCTAGTGCCTGTGTGGTTTATCACAGCTTGTTATCAAATGGATGAGTATTACTGCAGATGTGTACTGTAAAGAATTGAACACAATGATGGAGAAGTTTGCCCGTCTCCAAGCAGCTTCGGTCAATCGCTTGTCCCCACTGTACCGTAATGACAACGCGCGACCTCATACTGCACAACAGATGGTTTACAAGTTACAAATGCTGGGATTGCAAGTTCTCCATCATCCGCCGTATTCACCAGACCTTGCGCTTTTATTTTTTCCAGTATATTGAAAACTTTTTGACGGGAAAAAGTCGATTCCCAATAGGCAGTACAGAATGCTTTTGAAGAATAGGTGATTACATACTTTGATTAATAGAAAAAAATAAAAAAAATACGTTAACTTATTTTATCAAAAACGACAATTTCATAGGTAAAGACCTAATAAGATTTATTATTGAGGGATGTTTTTAATTGTTTATTAAATTGCGTAGCGTTTTCTAGGATTTATATAATTCGGTAAATGGATATAATTTTTTTTATCATCACCATCAGGTATCATCGCTCTATCCTATAAAAAAGTTGTCTCTCGTCTTGTCATAATAAACGTCATACTTTTCAAACATTCTTTTTTAGAAATTTCTTAGAATCAATCAAAAAAATTTAATTTCTTAGAAATCATCTCAAAAATTATCATTTATCAGAGAATAAATAAATTCGAGTCCGTCGATGATTGCACGATTACGCGCACTACACCCAGTTATGAGTTTGTTGAATTTCAGTATAGTGTTTAAGACTTCCACATATCATTGAGTGTTTTCTGAACCTATCTTCATCTGTAATTGACTGGTTTCAAAGTTATTTCTTTGGATGTTGGAAGTGTGTTTGCGGTAATGAAATTCGTTCATCGTAGTGTGATATTACTACTGGCGTGCCCCTAAGCGGCGTGTTTTCACCGTTATTCTTTCCTATTATCATAAATTTGATCTTAATTAAAATATCTTCTTTCTACCAAATGTATGCGGATGATAATCAAATTTGAAATCAACTCTTGAATCTGCTGACAGCATTCACCACTATGGATAATGTTTTTAGCCTTATTTTTGAAGGGGTTAAACATATTATCCAAAATGATGATGCTGTCGATCCCAAAAACTCTTTCTAATTGAGTGGTTTTCTTTACCATATTTGAATAACTGCTATACCTAAATGCGATAATGTTAAGAACCTAACCATTTATCATAACCACAACTGAGTTGGAAATGCAAAAAAATGAAGTTAGTAGACAAACTTTCGCTCTCAATCCTTTGCGTTGCTTTAGAACATTTATTTCTATTACTATAAAAATTTAATTTGTTCTTTTATTCTTTCAACTTTTGACTACGCTGACGCATACTGGCATTCGGTTTATATTTGTATTGCGCAAAATGACCATACTATTTCTTAATTTCAATTACGAATTGGATTCGAAGAGCGTTAATAGCCTTCTGCGTATATCTGACACACAGGCTACACGCGTAGAAAGTCTGAAAGAATGCCTTAAATAGTGCTACTTTTACCTTTTTTGAACATCGTGCAAACTTGCAGGCCAAATAATTGCTTCCGACCGACAACGCCATACTTTCTCTCCCTTTATACTCATCATTGTTACATGATGAACAAGATATTTAGATTGCGCCTTTAACACAATAAGCTCACTTTTTTATCATTGTATACGAGACCGTGAGACTCAGCATATTTGTCACATACTAAGAGCAGTCTTCATCAACACAGCTTAAGCTATTTATAAATTATTGGTAGTCTGGTGTCTTAAGTCTAAACAGACTAGTGCAGAATTTTATAGTCGGGTCCGGTTTCATGTAATAATAATTTCGATTATTCACAGCAGATGCAAATTTTTTAATTTAAATCAGTTAGGATCATAAAACGCGAGCAGTACACCTTTAATAAAACTACTTATACAGATTTTAATGCGTTTAATTTACTTAATTTTAAATCCCAATGTTTCGAGTGCTTTAAAGAACCCATGGTCACTGGGATTTACGTATTTTATTCATTCATCAGTCAAAGGTTATCAAAACTCAGTAGCGATTTAGGAAAACAAACCTTACCCGTATATTGTTTTTATATCAACCATATTTCGGTTGTTAATTCATAAGTTTATTTAAAAACGTTTCTATTAAATGTACTACATTATGTAATTTAATCTGACGATATTAGAAAACTAGAGAATTTTATTTTCTGTATCTGTTATCGTGTTTATAATTATTTTGCGATTCATTGTTGATTACAAGATAAACGCTACTGTACCCATAGTCCAGGCGTATAAAGCGAGCGATGATTTGCAATCAGGGTCCATTGTGATGATTGCTACTACATTAACGCATAATAGGACTATAAACTACGAGGCTATAAGGTTTTAGACTAATGAATCTACGTAGGTCGTTCCTCTAAAATAGTCATTCTTAAAACTAGTATCGTCAATAAATTAATACATTTTAAGTTTGCTTTTACGTATACAAATTAATAATATTGATGTGTCTGTTCGTAATATCAAATAACAGCTTTTTGATAAATGCATATAAAAATATATAAGGTATTTATAACAAAAACACATTTTTAAATGTTTTTCAATGTCTTCGTCTGTCTGCGTGCTCCAGATAATATCCGACATTGCTGAACCAATTTTGACAGAACTTTCACTAGTATATAGATAGGTGCTGTAATAAGGAGTGAATTAGGCTACAAAAATTAGAGAAAAAAATTGGGTTCCGCGCAAAACAATTAAAACCCTTCATTATACGTAGGCGAAGTCACCAGAAACTTTTTTCTAATATAAAATATATTCTAACAAGTAAGAAATTTGTGATATAACTTTGTTATTTAAATTGAATTACCGAGGAATTAAAATATATATTAATAATGTCCTCGAGCTCCAAAATCGATCAAGGCAATATGTTTCAACGGAGACTAGCTACGAGCGCAGAATAGAATCATAGTAGGTACACGAGTGTATCCGCAAGCACTGTTGCCGTCGCTATTCCCTCACTCTCTTAATCCGATAAAATGGCAATCTGACACAACGGAGAGAGAACAGCCACAGGAACAACGAATTTATATACTTTTCGAGGCACGGGAGTGAAACACCGTCAACTTCCGAACAGAACTCTGCTGCCACTGAGAAAGGTATATACCCTTACTTAGGTTACATTCTTCTTGCATTTTAAAATGCATAGGTATTTGTTGAAATACTCTTTCGTAATAATAAAATTTGTACATACATATTTATCGACGTTTAAGGAATTAATTAAATATAATTCTATGCAAAGTTTGTTTAAACGACTTTAAATTTCATACAAGCCTTTTGTCTCTCTAGCCATGAATCAATATTTTTTTTTAAAGAACAAGGGTGAAAAGGAAGCACGCGGAATGTCGCAATAATTTTCAATTTGGAAGTAACTTTTTAAGCAGGTACTAACCATAATTAATTTGTAGTTGGATAATTTGTAGATTGGACGAGTGTCCACTTTCAGCTCTTAAGTGCCTATAACAATATTCTCGAGTCAGTTTTAAGGTTGAGATGTTTGTGTCTTTTTACCTGGATTGTTTAAGTCTTCCTAGAAAGTCCGAGGTATATTTATAAAAGAATGTATCGAAGGGAAGGGAAGAAGGGCTTAATAATATAATTTGGCCAAAGTGTACGAGTATAGTCTTTTTTTTACAAAAATGAAGCTTAGTGACTCTTTGGTAGCCATCAACGTGTATTAAATAACTGTGTATTGGAATTATTAAAAGAACGGACAGTAAAGAAAGTGGTCAAATGATAATATAGGTCAAAATATATTTGGTCTCCTTTTTTTTCTTGAGAACTGAGCTTGCTATTGTCATCCTGCTGGCTTAATCTGCCGTCAAGATCCCTCAAAAACTCTGCAACGTGACGTCAAGACTTGGCGAAATAATTTGTTATAAAAACTTATATTTCCTTAAGTATTATTACTTTTTATCACCATATCAGTCATTTTTATTACTCTGTTCTCATTTTGTTTATCATAAAATAAAACATTAATATTAGTTTTTGAACCAGTCTGTGAATATAAAATCATTAAATAGCTTTAAAAAATTAGCCGGTTAGCCGCGTAACAGTTAGCTAATTAGTTGAGGTAAGTTAGTTAACCGGTTAAATTAGCTAAGCTGATGGGTTAACTAGCTAATTAACTTAGCTAACTATGTTAATTAACAGCGAAGTTAATTGTTAATACACTCACCGGCACGGAAACTTGGCCAAGCGGTTATCTCGCGATAGCAAAAGCTTTAAGTGTTTCTGATGAATGTTTGTTATGCAAGTATGTCAAAAAATGTTTACCCTCAAGTTCAAGAGGGTAATTCATTATGTTTAAGTGCACCATGACGAATTCTTTAATTTTTAGTTGAATCGGGTCATTTGAGCGACTAAGTTCACATTTTAAATTTGTGTGTTGTGAAAAGTTTACTGTAAGGTTATTCAATTATTCTGATCTTGTGTCTTAATTAAATAACTAAAGGTGCTTTAAAGCCAATAAAAATGCCATTAACACAAGCACAAGTTGCACAAGCAGTAGCATTAATTGACCAAGGGCTGACACAGCGTGAAGTTGCTATTGTGCTTAACGTACCACGGTCCTCAATGCAGTATTCACTGAAACGATACCAGGAGACAGGCCGCTACACCCGCAGGCCAGGCAGTGGGGGCGTAAGGTGCACATCGGCCCGGGACGATCGTTTTATTGTTATGGAGATTTTGAGAAACCGCTACCTGACCGCTGTTGAGATACGCCAGCGGCTCCAAATCGCAAGAGGCGTTAATGTCAGTGAGCGTACGGTGAGAAGACGAATGGAGGAAGTGAATTTAAAAGCTCGTAGACCAGCACGAGGTCCAGAACTTCTCAGACAGCACCG